CTCTCTCTCTCTCTCTCTCTCTCTTCCTGCAATACGTTGATGAGAGAATGTTGGTGTTTGCCGTTCCTTGGGGTGGTACTGGCATTGTACTGTGAATAGTTATGCAGCATTGACCTGTCATCAAACGGAACTTCCTTTTTTTTTTTGGGTGTGATAATCTGTGTTTGGGGCAGCATCAAGTATCCCTTATCGACCCTCAATTAATCTTGAAAGTTGTAGAATTATGAGGTGTGAATGCGCGCAACTTGAGATTTGACCTTCTTCTGCCATCTGGTGAGAGAAGGGCAGTATATGGGAAGCATACAGGGATGGTGGAAGTGCATTATGTGGGAATTGTTCACACGTGCATGCACAGATCACACCCACTCCAGCACAACAACAGATTTGATGGCCTGTCGTCCTGTTACGGCGTTAAGAAATTATCAAGGGAAGATCATCTGCAGAGCAACATAAAGTAATTTTTAGGAAGGTCTTCCTTCTGCAAGTTCAGATAATTCCGGTTCGGTCTTTAAGGAAAGGTCATCCTGTTTGCAATCGGGTTGGCAACCCGCTGGTTTGTCTGTGCACTGGGGTGGGTCCGCTGTGTGTAAGCCATGCTCTTGCATCAGCTAAGGGGTGGGAGGGAACCGAGTGGAGCGTGAGGAAGAAGGTAGGTTCAAACTGTATAATCACTTGTAGCACTTCATCAACCGCATGTCATCTATTTTTCTACTTTTTAGTAATTACCGTATTGCTTTGATTAGTTACGGGGCAGACAGTACTGTTGGTCCTAGGCGCGGTGTATAGATTCTATAGACTAATTAGTAATTACTAATTAGTGAGCTATTCAGACCAGGGCTGGGCCGGCAATCGGCCGGTTCACCTCCCCCGGTCCACCCGGATCCGGACCAGTCCAGGGGGGCTGAACCGGAAAAGCGTTCTTTTTTTTTAAATGCCCAAATTTTCTGAGTGAGGACGCCGCCGAGCCCGGCCGTTTGGGCCCGGGGGGGGCGCCGGGGTAAACCGGGTGGGCCAAAAAAAGCGCCCAGAAATTATTTATTTATTTTCTTGAAACCGGGGTCGTTCTGTGCTCGGCGAGAGGACCCCGAATCTGCTATAAAAGTTTTTTTTTTTTTTGGTGGGGGGGGTGAGGGGTTGGTCTGGGTGGGGGGTGCTGAGGTTGGGGGGGTGTCTGGGGGTTGGGGGCTCTGCATGTATGTTCCCTGCTCTATGCTGAATGCATGTCATCTGATATGTACTGCGTTGGGGGCTCTGCAATTTGTTGCCTGCTGCTCTGATGTCTGCTGCATGCATGTTATCGACCCTTTCATTCTGATGAAGAACAAGACTGACAAAAAATGAAGAAGAAGAAGAAGAAGAAGAAGAAGAAGAAGAAGAAGAAGAAGAAGAAGATCGGGAAGAAGCATGGCTGCGGTAGGGTATGGCAGCGGTGGGGTATGGCGGTAGGGTATGGCGGCGGAGGGGTATGGCGGTAGGGCATGGCAGCGGCGGGGCATGGCGGTAGGGTATGGCGACGGCGGTAGGGTATGGAGAAAGGTGCAATGACTTGCGGTTTTCTGGTCGCCTGTAGCCTCTCTCTGTCGAGGCTGTACTATAGGTAGGATAGATTCGTAATTTTGTTTGGCTGAGGGCTAACTGAGAGACCTACCTGTGAGGGAAATTCGTGAGGGACATATCTGCAAATTCGGGAAAAGTGCAGGCCCGGTACTAACAGAATTCCCTACAGTTACCCTACTGCGAATTGCAGGCCCGGGCTACCCCTAGGACAGACAGGCCCTAAGGGCCTATTCTGATAGACGGTCCTGTAGCCTATAGCCGGGTCCGGTAGAGGCCGAGAGCCCGAATCAGAAACGGTACCGGTCGGTCAGTCAGTCCGGTCTAGGTCGAGTCTAAGCTAGTGTAGTCTATAGATAGAATGGGCACATCAGTTCAGGGGTTTTGGCAGTTGGTACCGAGTACATCGCATCTGAGTCAGGCCCTGGGCGAGATTCGCAGCATAGGCCCAACTGAGGCTGTGGGCAGTTGGGCACAGGTAACTGTCGGTGGCCCTGGGCCAATTCGTTTGGTCTGAGGCTCAGCCTCCTTGGGCCTACCGGAAGCTTCTGGGCAGAGGCCCAGCACAGTCAGGCTGCACGCACGCAGGCTGGCCATTTTCCATATAGGAAAGGGCTAGCCCACGCTGGAGGCATTCGGGTGCTGGCTGCATGCTGCGCTGAAGCTGGCCAGCGCTCACGCGCTCACGGGCGAGCTGGAAGGAGCAGGCAGCCATAGCCGAGCTGCGCTGCTGTATGCTGGATGGGGCGCAGGGTGGTCCTTGGGTGCAAGTGGCATCTGTGAGTTGGGGAATGAGGTTGTGCGTGATACGAGAGGCATACCTGGTGCTTGAGGCGACGGCATTGTCCGAGATCTGCTCGTACTTCGGTGAAGCTGTTGACTTCATCCGGCGGCATTGTAGAGTAGGCCAGATAGGATCTGCCATCTGTAATCTGGGCGCCGAGCGCCAGATAGGACATCAACATTGCTTCTTCGTTGATGATGATGAGAATATTCCAGCATTGTCAATTATGAGCCCTTGGCGTGTTCTTATTTGGTGAAACTCATGTTACAATTCTGCTTTTGGTTCGAGGTCACGACTATCTGGTCTCATGTGTATGATGCTGTTTGATTTCTGAAGTTCGCTATCGCTCATCTTCCTTGCAACAGTAGGACCACATTTTCTGATCTTGGTCTGCCAGAAACAGGTGAGATACGGATTTAGTGGTAGTTTAAACAGTTTTTGGTGTTGTTGTGGTTAAATATACAAACAGTTCAAACTTCAATCTCTGAAAATCAACATTATTGCTTTTGAGCTGCTCCAGTCCCTCCACACAAAGATCGTAGAAGAGGCAAGAGCATAGGAGTTGCAACACAAAAGGGGCAAGAGAAGTGAGGAGGAGGAGAAGGGAGAGTGAAGGCATGGAGTGGTTGGAGGAGAGGAGGAAAAATAGGGGGAAGCAGGAAGAGGAGGGCAAAATGGTGGGATGGGGTAAAAGCAGGGAGAATCTGTAGGACATGAGGTGGAAGTGAAGAGTAAATGGAAAAGGATAGTTGCAGGAGATGATGAGCAAAGTGGACATGATGGAGAAGTAGTGGAGGAACATTCTATTGGAGCTCAAACAGATGCAGAAGCGATGGATTTTGGGCAGATGGAGGAGCAGGAAGAGGGGGAGGGGGAGAGGGGGAGGAGAGTGGTAGGAGAGGGGAAGGAGAGGGGGAGGAGAGGGTGGAACGGAAGATCGGGAGGACGATAATGAGGATGAGAAGAAAGAGAGACAAGGGGAGTAGTAGGAGGAGGAAGATGGGCGAAACAGGAGACGACAAGAGGAGGAAGGAGGAGGGAAGGGGAAGAGGAGGATCGGAAGAAGGTGAAGGGCAGCGACTGGAAGAGAACAGGGAGAAAGAGTGGTAGTTGGACAAACCAGGAGGACGACCAGAAGAAGTGGACGTGACAGCAGAAGTACTGACAGGTAGGAAGGACAAGAGGTTACAGAGAGGGGACAAGGGGGGGAACAGGAGGAGTAACCTGATGGTATACATTCGGTCATGTGCTGGTGCAATATCAAAGACATTGTTTTACCGATAGGAAAGTAGAAACTCGCTAGCAATGAACATATTCCGTTCAAAGCTCTAGACTGAAAGCCTCCAAGTTCAAACCTGTGTTTGTATCATTGCCATGTGTCCTAGCTTCATCACCAGCTCCTCAATTGTGAGATCAGAACTAAACATATCATCCTCACCACCGACGCCAGCCAAGGAATGATACCTGCAACATCATTTTACCGCAGTGAATCAGGCTGTGAGGATGGTAGAACTGTGTGTCAACATTAGACGCACACCCACAAGCACACATCCACCCACCCACCCATGTACCCATTTTTCTCAAGGGTATTGGGAACTTTGGGCAAGGTGGCAAGACCTTATCCATCAATCAAATACATCCTGGGCAGACTGTGGGGTTCAGCCTTCTGATGAGTCAATGAATTCCAGCAATACAGTCCGTCACAGTCGCCCTGTGCTTGTAGGGACGGAGTTGCCTGGAACTTTTCACCAGTATTGACTCTATTGAGATATGTGCTCACATCAACTTGCCCCCGTACCTGATGATATACAACTTATCATTTGGTTCACAATAATCTTTCACAGAAGTGCTAGTGTGCTTGTAAGCCAGAAGAAGATGGATGCTGTATATTGACACAAGAATCAGCTTTTTCTTTGCTAGTTGTTTAAGGGGATATCCCCTAACATTATTGTATCCATCCGAGTCAATGTGGATTCCAACTCAGCATCTATTTAATAACAGTTACATGTGTGTATCATTCAGCGGAATTTCAGCCCAATGGTAGATTCTGATCCGTACTTTAGGGCTTCGGTGAACCGGCACCCTCAGCCACAGGAACCAAGTCTCTTAACCGCTACAGCCCCGACACGGTGTTCAAAAGTGGAACCATACCAGTTGTCAGATCCACCCCACGCCTTCAGGGCTGTAGTGTCCAACGCACACACCACACATACACAACACCACACGGACACCACAATTCATGAACACTTCGCTCTAACAGCACGCGACCCACCACCGTTTTTTTTTTTTTTAAATAAAAAAATGCAAGCTGCCTTCTCATCATATGGGGGGAACAGCTTCATTTTTCTACGTTATTTTCTTCTCTCAATATTTTTCCATCTCACACTACCTACCTCGGGCTGTGTACTCGAACTGGTCTACTCACCTTCCGGACATGCAAGGGGCATTGCAACCCAACCAGCACGGAACCCAGAGCTCCATGTCAACTACAGGGGACTTAAATTCACTAGCCAATGCCAAGCTATCCTAAGGTTATGGGTCTACGCCTACCTATCTCTGCTCTGTGCGGGGAGCAGTACCCAAGCTCCTAACACCCGGCGGGGGCTGGAAAGGACGTATCTTCCCAACCAGCCAGGAGGCCCAAGCCAACAATCTCATGGAGAACATTCTACTCTATCCCAGAATGGACTTTTTGTGCTATGACCCAGGACAAGCTCCTGCCTGCCTGCATTCTACAAGCATCAACGGCCGAAAACTTACGACAAGGGTGAGTGGGCCCTTGGCCCTTGTGAGCCCAATCCTCAATCCAACGATCAACAACTATCCAGCATAGAAAGGGCCCTTGGCCTCGGTGTTCCCGACTTGACCTGAATCCAATGACGAACAAACTATATGCCACATTAGCAAACTCATGATCACCTGACACAGAGACTAAATAAGTAGGATCTTGGCCCTGATCCAATGATGAACAACCACATGGCGCATCCGCATAACGCATGGCACCAGCAAGATCAGGGTCAATCAGCGGTTCAAATCATGCACATGATCCACATACCAGGAATATCAGCACCACAGAACCCACACAATGCACACCACCTGGACACACCTGCAGAATGGGAAAACTCCACAAGGTAGTTTCTCCCACCCCTCTCATTCGCCCCATTGAGATGGAGTGCCAACCATGCATGGATGGAGGACATAAGGACCTTTCCGTAGTGCTGAAGTCATTTCTCTACTTTTTCTAGATTGTGATCTAACAACTGCCCAGTAGGCGACCCACCTGAATGCAGTGATAGGAATGCCATTATTTGCATCCAGCGGCATGACATCATTCTTTCTACCTTCTGCAATCATTTTTTCTGCCACTTCAAGGAACTCCTTCGTCCGTGGCAATGTTGCCATATACTCTCTGTCACTAACAGGGGCCTGCACACCATAAAACCCCAGCAGCAGCAGGAGAAGGTGAGGGTGCAGCAGCAACATCAGCAGAAGGAGAAGAGAGGTGGCGGAGGAAGCAAGAAGAAGAAGAAGAAGAGGAGGAGGAGGAGGAGGAGGAGGAGGAGGAAGAGGAGGAGGAGGAAGAAGAAGAAGAAGAAGAAGAAGAAGAAGAAGAAGAAGAAGAAGAAGAAGAAGAAGAAGAAGAAGCAGGAGGAGGAGGAGAAGGAGGAGGAGGAAGAGGGGGAGGAGGAGGAGGAGGAGGAGAAGAAGACCGACCACACAAAATCAAAAACACAAGGAACAGAAAATCAAGCACACTTAGTTATTCTGCCGACTAAGTGCCCAGGGAATAGAAAGATCAACACACATGGACCATCCTTGCGGCCTTTCTAGAAGTACGTCCGGTGTCCAATTTAAGTCCTATTCTTGTGGTTTCCCTATTTTCAAGCCACCACATCCCTTCCCGGGCCCAAAAGGAGAATCACCTGTGGGACAAACTCTGTACCAAGGGCCTTAGGTTGCCTAAATGAAAGACCATGTGGCCTGAAGGACTATGGACCCGGGGCGGGTCCCAAGGCCCGGTGTATGAGGCTCTGGGCATGCCACAGCCGCCCTACAAACAACAGAATGGACAGCATAAGGCACACATATTACAAAACGGGCAAGGGGGAACACGGTAGAAGGTCTGTACAGATCAAACATTCATCTTAAACTCGCTCTTCTTACCCACCCCCCCAATCCCTGCCACACACACAGAAAAACTAGAAACAAACACTACGTCTGTACACATCAAACATTCATCTCAAACTCGATCTTCTTACCCACCCCCCCAAGGCCTGCCACACACACAGAAAAACGAGAAACAAACACTATCAGAAACTTGTTAATCTTGCACTCTGTAATGACCTGCCAAACACGGACTGAGACACACAGCTGATTTCTGAGTTTTGCTCATGGAATGTATGCCTTACTGAGTTTCCCGCTTGTTGCTGAGTTTTCTAAGTCTGTGTGGGTGCATGCTTGCGGGTCTGCATGTCTGTCTGAGTGCTTGTCTGCTTGAGTGTGTGTGTGACCCGCAAGAGCACTTGAGTGTTCGGAAGGCCTGAAGGGCCGGTACTTACCTGTGGCAGTGACATTGAGGGTTGCAGAGGGGAAAACACTCAAGTGGCAGGGAAAGAGGCCCACGACACTTAGAGCAGCGGAAAACACTCAAGTAGCAGGTCGGCTGGTACCACACCAAGTAGAGGTAGATGTGCTGGGTACTCGAGGCCGAGCAGAAGAAGACATCAGTTGGCATTTTTAGAGGCCCAGTAGTTGTAGGCTAGGTCTAGGCGGGTACCAGTCCAACCAGTCTGAGTGTAGGGCCTGTACGGGAATATCAGAGTCTGCAATGATGTTTCCCTCTGAAAGGGAGGAGGTACCGGTTGCTTGGAGGCCGCGCGGCCAAGGAAGTCACTTGCCAAGAGGCAAGGAGGCCGCTATATCTCCAGGAGAAGCAAGGTGCTCCTCCTCATTGTCAGTGTGCAAGTTTGGCGACACACTGGTTGGAGTGCTGGCTGGAGCAGCGCTAGCTTGGAGCAAGGAGCAAGGACAGGAGGAGGAAGAAGACCAGGACTAGGAAGGGGAAGCGCCAGAGGTACCTACCTGGCTATGGTGGTTGCCATCTTCATCGGCTTGGTGGGCGCTGCAGCAAGAAGGCCCCAGTGGGGGTAGAGCTACACCAAGAAGCTTCGAGGAAGAGTCAGGCATGGCGGCCTGAGCTAGAGCAGCCATAGCTTCTTGAGTTGTTTTGTGCACCTCAGGGAAAGGTCTTAGTAGTCTGTCATAGCCTAGGCCTTCGAGAAGAGGAAGGAGAAGGGTGTCATGGCTATGGTGGACCTCATGTGATACCTGCAGTAGAAGAGGGATTCGGGCATTGATTCCGGTTCAGCCATTCAAACATTATCTTTATACCCTTTAAAGTTACAGCGGTCCCGCTGTCACACGAAGCTGTGGGCCCACGGAAAATCGCAGGACGGGTGGAACCGGAGCAGGTCGTCGCGTGAAGGCGGGACGGGCGGAACCGGACAAGGGCAGGACGGGCGGAACCGGACGAGGGCGGGACGGGCGGAACCGGAGGAGGGCGTTGCGTGCAGCGAGGCGCAGGGCCCGTGGGAAAAAGGGTGTGCCCACGAGATTCCGTGCACCAGGGTGTCGCCCTGAGAATCTGCGCGTCGATTCGACGAGAATTCGTGATTCGCACCCACGAGAATCCGTGGGACGGGTCGGGGGGGGGCATGCGGAGGGTTGAGGGTTAGTGTGTGTGTGTGTGTGTGTGTGTGTGTGTGTGTGTGTGTGTGTGTGTGTGTGTGTGTGTGTGTGTGTGCGATGGGTGTGTAAACATGGCCATCCTGTTTGTAATGGGAGGGGGGACCATATCGATGTCCGCAAAGTTAGCATCAGGATAGAGCTCTCCGCTAATTAGTCTCCTATTATTAAGGAGATAACCATTTCAGTATGCCATAGGGGAGGTGGGTGGGGGGTGAGGGTTAGGTAGGGAGCTGTTAGGAGATTAGTAAGGGAGGGGGACCATATCGACATCCGCAAGATTAAAAGCCGAAGGGGGGGTGCACGCCCTTAAGCGCGCTTTTTGCCGCCCAGCACCCATAGCAGCTCATCAGAGGGGTTAACTTAGTAAAGGCTCCTGTTAGGAATGGGGGAGGGGGGGGGGGGGGGGGGGGGGGGGGGGGGGGGGGGGGGGGGGGGGGGGGGGGGGGGGGGGGGGGGGGGAGGGCGGGCTCATGAGCAGGACGTTAGGGGTTGTATGGTGAAGCAGCATAGGCATTGGGGGGAGATGGCGTTAGCGAATCATACCTGAGCGGTCATGGTCGGTGTCGCTGGGAGATCAGTCGCCGCCATAGCACGAATGGTGGCCGTGCAGCGTAGTATCAGGTGGCTTACAGCGTAAGCACAGCGCC